TGGTGTATGGCATCGTGCCTTAAGGCAAATTGCTGGAACTTTTCGTACAGTTATTATTAAATTTTGGTACGGTCCCCAGAGTAATTTACACAAATGTACACATTATTAAATTTTTTATAAAGTATCTGATAATTTGATGTACATATGTCCAATAAACATTTTTGACCGCCAAATGACATTTTTTTAACTTATTTTTACTGAGAGTCCATAACCACTGGACCTGCCATCCTAAATTTAATCAGTTCTTCATCTTGTCAATACAAGTAAAATGTTTTTTGAATTATACAAATCGGACGCTCCGTTCTCTTATAAACTGAGTTACTGTTTTTGGCACTTTTTGCCCCATACTTTCGGAACGGCTAAACCTGCCTTCGCCAAAAACTTATCAGCACGTCTTCTTACCAATACGAATCGAATGTTTCTGAATTATCCAAATCGGTTGATCGGTGTTCCCGAAATTGTCGAGGAAAATTTGTATCCGCACACATACACACCGATACACACACATACACATACACCCATTTTTCCTAAGGTATGCCTAAATATTCAGGAACATTTGAAACGTAAAAATATGCAAAAAAATATTTTAGATTTTTTGTGATTACTATAACTTACCCTAAGGAAAGTTAATAAAAAAATTCAAAATTTATCTAAGTTTCAAAAACTTATTAAAAATCAAATTTGTACGGTTTTCTTTCTTTATTCCAGCGCCAGTTTCTCCTATGCCTATACGTTTTTTTTTCAATAAATAAATATTTATTCACAATATAACTTTTGGTATCTTAACTATATTAATTTAGAGAAAAAACAACAATCGTTTAGTGGTAAATTTATATATCTCCTCCGACCACAAAACCAAATTCGTACAATTCCCATCCGCAGTATAAATTTTATGACTGCACAGAAATTCCAGCAAAAATCCCCTGTTCATCTACTTTAAATAATATCGCAATTTTAAACCGTATCATTTATATTTTTCAATCTATTTCTATTGATAACTAACTGCGGAAAAACCTAATAAATATTGAATCAATAAAAACAACATTCGACTAGTAGTAGTAGTAGTAGTAGTAGTCAGTAATTGCCTGTAACAAAAATTGGTGGGATAGGTTCGTAGTAAACTGGATTATATTAGACATTGACATAAAATATACATAATCGTTGAATGCAAAAAAATGTCTAAGTGGACGATGTAGTAAATTTGTAAAGCTTGGTTTATACTTTAACACGTTCGCGGACGTAAATGCTAGAGCATTCACTTTTATTGTGATGAAGAATACCTATAGCAGTCAAAATTTGGTGTCAATTATGTTGAATTTATGTTGAACCTGTCAAGGTAATGACTAACAGATTCTTTAGGCATATTTCATATTTTAACTTTTCCCATGTTGCGTAAAATAGAATCGAAATACTTAACGTGGATGCTATAGCATTCATCTAGCGTATAACGATTAAAATATGATAATTTGACTACTCTTATAAACGATGTTTAATAAAATTTTGGATATCACAATTAATTTAAAAAGACAACGATTGTCAATTTTGGTAGCCAATTTGGTGTCATGATGTTGGTCCAGAATGAACTTCTAAACTAATGAACCAATTCTAATTTTTATTAGCTCATTATGTGTATTAATATCGAACTTAGGTTATAGGCGATATCAAAAATTGCACTTAAAATTTGAAATACTAAAATTTTAGAATTTTCAATTAATTTTGTCAGTTCTGAATATAAGAAAACAGTGTGAAATGACAATTGTTAATGTTTCTGAAAACTTTGAGATAAATTTATTTCTGATTTACATTTCATTTGCTCAAAACCACAATCAATCACAATTTAGTCAAAATATTACATTAGCCATAAATCCAAAAAACATTTTAGATAGTTCAAAATATCAATGGTTTTTGGACAATTAACAAGAACAATAAAATATTTCAGTGTATAACGTTATGTGATAAAGAAAAGCATAAATTTAAACAACATGGATCTATTATCTATCATTAGTTAAAATAAGATTATTAATATTTTTAAACAACTATCAAAATTTGGTTATTGAAAATAACTCTTTTCGTTTCAGATGGGGCAAATTGATAATGGCAAGGTATCGGTAAGTGCTAGTTTTTAATTTCTATTTAATTTTAATAATTTGTTTGAAATTATATAATACAGGATAAATCATAACTTTATTTCTTCATTATGTGTTACGAATCTCAATTATTCGTTTTTCGTAAAGATCTGCTGGACAGTATCCTCATAAAAGGTTTTTGAAAATCTTGATGAAAATTTTTTTGACAATGGATTCCATAGTGTAAAATAACCCACTAAAATATTATAGGCCTACGATAGGCGGTTGATTTACAAAGAATATTGTTAAATCTCAGTCTAATCTTGTTAAATCTAACTGAACCTCAATAAATCTCGTTGAATATCGTTGAATCTCGTTCTAATCTCGTTCAATCCTGTTGAATTTCGTTCGAATCTCGTTTGAACGTTGTTGATTTACGTTGAATTTCGTTGTATCATGTTGAATCTCATTGAATCTCTCCAAATATCATTAAATCTAATTGATTCTAGTTGAATCTCATTTGAATCTCGTTCAATCTCGTTGAATATTGTTGAATCTCGTTCTAATCTCGTTGAATATTGTTGAATCTCGTTGAATATCGTGGAATCGTATTGGATCTAGTTGAATCTCGTTTGAATATTGTTGAATATAGTTCGAATATCGTTCTAATGTCGTTCTAATTTTATTGAATCTCAATGAATCTAGTTAAATCTCGTTGAATCACGTTGAATCTCATCGAGTTTCATTGGATCTAGTTGAATCTTATTCGAATCTCGCTCGAATATCGTTGAATCTGGTTGAATCTCATTGGATCTAGTTGAATCTCGTTTGAATCTCGTTGAATATTGTTGAATATCGTACTAATTTCGTTCTAATCTCTAATCTAATCTAATTTTAATTTTAACAAACGTCAAACGTTACTCATTTTCTCAAACTTTGATGAATTTTTAAAATTAAACGACTTGTTGTAGAGCCATATGTTTTAGTATGATCTATAACAGAGGTCGGCAACGCGGCGCCCGCGGGCGCCATGGCGCCCCCGATCAACTTTAGATGCGCCCTCGGTTAATGTAAATGTATGATAACCTTAGCAAAAATCAATTTCACATTTTCCAAATATAAGGCATATTATTGAAAGTCTAAAAATAAATATAGAAAATTTTACTACTACATCATATTTAGAAGTTATAGACAAATTGGCAGAAGAGTTTTGCTCAAGATTTCAAAATTTTCGCAGCACTAGAACCCGTTCTAGGATTTTATTACAAAACCCATTCAAAGTTGCCGAAGATGATCTTCTGCAAAGTGTTTCAGTGTATTTCGAAATTAGTAATATCGAAGACGTGGAGTTAGAAATAATAAACTTGCAAAATGATATTTTAAAAGCACATAGTAATGATAAAATGTTTCGGAATTTAGTCGATGAAAATAAGTACCTATTTTAAGGAAATGTGCGCTAAAAATTTACTCATACTGTGCAATAACATACAATTGCGAGTCTTTGTTTTCAAATATGAAATATTTGAAATCAAAATGCCGTACAAAGTTAAATGACACACTTTTAGATAACTGTTTGCGGACAGGGTACTCTAATTATATTCCTGATTATAAAAAATAGCTGAAAATACGGACACACAAGTTTCACACTAAATTATATGTATATAATTAAGTATTATTAAATCACACTCTTCGATGTACTGAATTTTATTATACTAAGATATATATGTATATATATATACACACACACATACTTATAATAAAGTTATGAAAAATCTTTTTTTTTCATACCGATGCGCCCTCGGTAAGTTTCAGATTTAGTTTTGCGCCCTTAACGGCAATCAGGTTGCCGACCCCTGATCTATAAGACTATGGTATCTACCATCAAAAAAAAAAAACGTCGAATTTTTTTTTTAACACTTTATTACAAGAAAACGAAAATGTATCTTTCCCAATCAATATATTACGAATAGTTTTTGAATTTTCAAAATCGATTCAGTGGGATAAAACGTGGACGACAAATTTTTCACTTTTCTGCGATTTATAAAGAAACGGCTTGGCCGATCGTCGCACAAAACTGACAATTAATAGTCCTGATCGAGATGCATCGAATGGCTTATAAATTTTTGAAATCGGTTCAGAATGGCTTGAAACGCCGAAAAAACATAAAGTTAGCAAATCGGATTTCTTTATGAAAAGAAAGTTCTCCTTCGGGAAGTTAATAAACTGTTAAAAAACTGTCGATTATGAGCCTATTATTGTATTCATATATATAGTATATATGAAAAATCAAAAATACTATCTTGACATTTGAGTATTGTTAGTGCTCGAGCCGATACTCAAAATCAAAACTATGCTTTTTGGTTTAGTTGATAAAAATATCTCATTGTTAGCACATACGTGAAATTAGACTACTTATCTGAATCGCCTGATGGCACACAAATTTTAGTTTATTCTCAGCAACTCATACGAAGATAGACCCGAACATAGCATTTCTATTTTATCTGAGATTTGGGCTCTAAATTTCATACATATTATCTATCTTTTACATGTGAACTAAGCCACCATTTATTATTACAGTAACATGGGACACCTAAAGATCGTATGACGCACAGGTGAACCATTAACATAAAATATATATTTTTTTAACTTCAACCGTCTGCAAAAGGAGGGAAACTGGTTTCTTCTGATAATTCCATCCCATCTCAGCCCATACTATTTGTCATTGAAAAAGACGAACGCAATTCGCGGTATCTCTATATATAGTTGTAAAATATCGTTTATTTTTCAGAATTTTTGTATTTCATAAACAGAACCGTTGGGAGAATATAAACAGAAGTGGCCCGACTTTTAATAGACACATTTAAATTGATGTCGTTGGAGACAACATAGAGTAAAAAATTGTTTATAGACACCAGGATTTTTAGTTGTTTGTTTTTGGTTGGGATAAAATTTTATATATTCAAAGAAAAATGAAGAGTTTGTTAATTTGTGTCTTTTTTGGACTGTGTGCTTTGACTGCTGCTATACGTAAGTATTATTTTATTTATTTATATTCAATATTTTTATACATCTATTTTGAAAACCTTCTTGCCTAAATCTAGAAGTTTTTTATTCCACTCCTTCATTTCATTCATACTATTAACATTGAAATTCAAGATATCCTTTCAGGTATAAAAAAATCTAGGAGTTCATCCTAATATTTTTAAAATAAATTTTAACATGTTTTGGAAAGATGTGTTCAAACAGCACTTTTTCATACCAAATATAAATTCATTTTCTAAATTGGTTTAAAACAATTACAAAAATATTAATCCTTAATCCAAAAATCACTTTCATTTTCATTTCAAAATAAATTAAACATACTATTAACATTGTTTGGGAGTACAGAGCAAAAAATGCTAAAAATTAAGGATTTTGTGGAAACAGAGCATCCTATTTTTAAAAAAAATATGTTTGTTGTCAGTGTTACAATAAAATTAAATTTTGGCGAAAGCAAATTTTTTTTTATTTCAAAATTTGAAAAATATTTGTTTTTTATTTTAACTTTTCTATGTAGCATATTGAAAATGATTCAGATTTTAATTTTTAATTCTAACCTTTAAATTCTAATCTTTTAATTCTAAAGTTCACTTATAATATTGAAATAAATAATTTTTGGTAATATTATTTAGGCATTACTATATTTAAATTATTTAAGCAGTTCCTAAAAGTTGTGCTTAAGTAGTACTTTTCTATATCAATTAGTAATTAATTTCCTAAACTAATATAAAATTTAAAAACCATAAAAAATATTAAACCTAAATCCAAAATCAGTCTCATGTTTTATCAAAATAAATTAAGCATACTATTAAACATGAAACTTGAATTTTTGTTAATATTATTTAGATATCCTTTCAGATATCCATAAATCTCCTGTTAGATCATATTTATATTTTTAAAATAAATTTTACATTTTTCTAAAAGTTGTGCTTGAACTGCACTTTTTTATATCAAATAGAGATTTATTTTCAACAGTAGTATAAAATTTTAAAACCATTAAAAAAATATTAATACTAAATCCAAAAATCAGTCTCATATTGTATCAGAATGTATTAATCATACGCTATTTATAATGAAATTTAATTTTTTGTTAATATTATTTAGGTATCTTTTCAGATATCCAAAATTCCTTATTTAAAAATTTATCTTAATATTTGTAAAATAATTTTAACACGTGTCTAAAAGTTATGTTTAATTTTCTCACAAATCATCAAAATAAACGATTTATCTCATAATTTATCAAGATAAATGTTATATTTTCCTTATTTATATTTACCAGCTTTCCTAATTTGTTAATTATTATTTTCTTAAATTTATATATATCGTTTCTTGGTTTGTTAATTAGTCAATATTTTAATTAGGCGATTTTTTTAAATTCTAGATATCTAAATAAAATTTAGATCGCGATCATAGAATAATTTTTAAAAGTGCAATTACGTATAAAATATATAATATAACAATTTTGGTCTATATTAGTCCATTTTGAACCAATCTTTAAATAAATTATTTTTATTTGATATTTTGTGCTAGATACATTTAACTAAGGACTTATAATTTTTTCAGATTTCTAATAATTTCAAATTTAAAACAATTACTCCAACTCATGATTTTATTTTTGAAAAATCTGTTGTACATTTGTACAATACAAAATTGTACATTTACAAAATAACCTAACTTCTCTTAACAAAACGTAATGAAAAATAACTCTCAATAAAAAGTATGATTCAAAAATTTGTTAATATCTTTAAATATCACTCAAATTTATTTTCTTAAATAAAAGAATCTGAACTGAATTTCTAACTGAACTTTAAATATTTTTACATCATCTATTTCATTTACAGTTTAATTTTTGGTTTAAAGTCACTTGTGGTTTTTTGAACAAATACTTTTGTAACTATAAATATGCTATTAACAATATAAAAATATTCTGGTGCTCTGGACTCTGAAATAAAATTAGCTTTTAAAAATTTGCAACCCTTAATCCTTACTACTAATTCTTGATTTAATTTTCTAAATTTCTACGAAAAGTATAACTATAAAGTTTATTAATATTTCTGTATGTCACATTTTTTAAATAAAATAATTTCAACGTAATTTTTAACATACTCCTTATATTTTTAAAATATAATTTGTACAAAGTCAATTGTGCTTTTTCGTACAAAAACTTTTGTGACTTTGTGATGAATTTTCAGAATAATTTTTATCAAACTACGAAATATAATAATAATTTATCTAACCATAAGTTATAAAATTTCAAATAAAAAAATATTCTGGAACTTTGCAATTCTAAAATAAAATTAGCATTTAAAAATATTCAACCCGTAATACTTACTACTAATAGTTTTTGATTTTATTTTGCTACCCTATATGGATTTTTTTTTCTACTCCATCCAAATCCCTTTACTCTAATTAAATTATTTTTTTATTTTTTATACCATTTAATCTTTATTTTAGCATTGGCACAGCAAGATAATTCCAACTCAGCCGTTGACAGTGCAATCAAAGACATTTTCCAACAAAATGACGGAAACCAAGAACAACTTGGTGGACAACAAATTGGATTAGAACAAGGCCAAGTTGGTGGCAAAGAATTGCAACAAGATGTTGGACTTGGTCTTGGTCAAAACCCTCAAGACGAGGGTGGTGCACAAGGTTTTGGCCAAAGTCAACCTAGTGGCGGTGATCAAGGTCTTCAATTAGGCGGTGGCCAAATTACCGAAGAAAATGTTGGATTAGGAGGATCTCATCTGGACGGTGGATTAGGATCACAATTGGGTGGTGGATTGGAATCTGGCAGTATTGGTGAAGACAAATCTCAGCAAGGTAGTGAAGGAGGGTTAGGACAAATAGGCGGTGGTGAAATTGGTGGTGAACATAAACTTGTAGGAAAACCTGAACCTAAAGTATACGACCACCATAAACATTACGACCACGACAAGCATGACTATCACCACGATCATCACCACGATGATGACGATGATGATGATGACGATGATCACGATGATCATCATGACTACCACAAACACGAACACCACGATTATGATCATCATCACGACCATCACAATTATGATAAACATGATCATCATGATTACGATAAACATGATCACCATGATCACCATGATTACGACAAACACGATCACCACGATTATGATAAACATGATCATCATGATCACCATTACGATCACGATGATCATCACGATGATGATCATCACAAGTATGATCATCACGACAAGTACGATCACCATGACAAACATGGTCACGATGATGATGATGAGTATTAGGAAAGTTCCGTATCGGAAAAATTTATTAAAAGATGGTTTTATTAAAAGTTTGTTCAGCTCTCTCATGGTTGTTGTCAGTATGCAATATGTATAAGCAAAATTTTTGTTTTGCCAAAATTTGAATAGTATTGATTTATTTATTGTTTCATTATTTTGTAGATGTAAAAACAGTATTATTTGTGAAATAAAATATGTTATATGATAATTGTAGTTTAATTAACTTCGACGTTTTCTCAAAAACGGCCGGACCGATTTCAAAAATTTAAAAGCCATTCGATGCAACTCGACGAGGACTATTGTTTGTCAGTTTTGTGTGACGACCGGCCAAGCCGTTTCTTTGTAATTCGCAGTGAAGTGATAAAAATTTCGTCTACGTTTTAGCCCGCAATTTTGACACGATTTTGAAAATTCAAAAGCCGTTCGAAAGATTAGCCGTGCTGATTAGTTTTTGGTAAAGACCGGCCGGGCCGTTTTCTTGTAATAATTTTTTTTTGACGATTTTTATGATTTTTATGGTAGATACCATAGTCTTATAGATCATACTAAATTATCACCGCCCCGAGAAAAATCGATTAGTTTTAAAAATTTGTCAACGTTTCCAAAAATTATTATCGTTTTTTTCAAATAATCCTGAACCGATTTCAGAAACTTTAAAGCCAATCAATGTATTTCGATGTGAATTATCGTTTCGTGCGACGATTGGCTGAATCATTTTTCTGTAAATAGAAGAAAAGTGAAAAAATTTTCATCCACGTTTTAGTCCTCAATTCTGAATCGATTTTCAAAAATAAAAAACTTTTCGAAAGTTATTGGTTGGAAATGATACTGATCATGTTGAGGTAAAAATTTACCGAGATTATTTTATGAACATTTTTTGGTAATAGATATCATGGTCTTATACAACATACTAAAATATTACAGCCCTATGACAAATAGTTTAATGTTAAAAATTCATCAAAGTTTGAAAAAATATTATAGTCATTTGTGTCAAAAGTAGCTTTTGTGATGTGATGAGTAAAACACTATCAGTTCATTAAAATTTAAAATGATAAGCTACTATTTTAGGGTATACAAGCATGTGTCTGTGCAATATAATTAAATGTGTTTTAAAAAATTCTATTCCAAATCGCAATATTAAGATTTAATTGAAAGCGATAACTGTATTTTCGAAATATATAGTTGAAATTTTTATCTTAATATCTAAATCTCAATTTTAGTTGATTAAGTCAATTCTTACACATTTCGATAAGTTCATGCAATTTGCTTTAAAGCTAAATGCCACTTTCAACTAGTTATTAATTTGATGTGCTAAGAAGTGTTAACTTAAGTTCTTTGTTGAGCTAGGATTTTTATTGAAGCTCCCATTGTGTTCTTGAAAGATTCTTTTTAGACTATGATCTAATATTAATCTGATATTGAATTTGATATTTGATAAAAGAAATATTGTTATTATTTTTCCTAAATTAAATCCAACACTTTCAAAACTTTTACACAAAAAAAAAATTGTCCAAAACCCCATGTTTTTATTTATTCAAAAATAAAAAAATACTTCGAAATAAAAATACTACGAAATTTTTAGCGCGTTTATTCTTGCTATTTTATATGTCAATACACTTCGAAAATGCAACATGCAAAAAATTAATGCAAATATTTGAATTAATCTGAACAGACTTTTTAATGTGCATAGACAAATTAGTATTTATGAAGCAAATATTAATTTTATCAGTTCAAATAGAAAAAAAAGGTATATAACATGCTGAAAATTAGTTCAAAATTATATTCAGTTGTTAGAGATTCAAGAAATCATTGAACAAAATGAAAACTTTTACTATTTGTGTACTCTTCGCACTTTGTGCTATGGCTGTGGCTAGACGTAAGTAAAATGATAATTAATATTAATTATAAATAACTAAATATTTTATTTTATAAAATATTTTTTTTTATATTTTAACTCACTAAATTTCATCAAGACTAGTGTACATTTCTTTCGTGAAAATGCTTTCAACAAATTTTATACAAACAAATATGATTTACCTAAAATTTTGCTTTGAAATTTAATTATACCAATGCCTTGAAAAGTGTCTTTGTCTATCTGAGGATCAACCAGATTTATTGGATTAAGTAGTAATTAAAATATCAATTACTTCCTAGCCAATCTTCCTATGCCAGAACCACCATGCCCAGAAGACAACAGCCACGAAAGTGGTAGCCATGAACATCATAGTCATGAAAGTGGCAGTCATGAACATCATAGCCATGAAAGTGGCAGTCATGAACATCATAGTCATGAAAGTGGCAGTCATGAACACAGCATGGAAGTTCCTGATGTACCTTGTATGCCTGAACCTCCAGTAGTTGAGCCTCCATGCTTGCCAGAACCTCCAGTAATTGAGCCTCCATGCTTGCCAGAACCACCAGTACCAGACTGCTAAGTTATTCTGGAAACTTAATTGGACTGTTTGATGTCAACTTGGAGGATCTATATTTGCATGCTATATTTTTATTGTTTTTTTGTAATTTATTAATTTATTTAAAGGTTTTCATTACCTTATGTACTAACTCAGAATAAAATATCAAGAGATTATAAGTCTTTGATTTGTTCATAATCATTTTATCGATGATTATCCTGAAAAAAAAACTGATTGACGATGTTTAATCTAAAAAAACTGACAGTTATTTAATTGTTTTAAAAATTATTAGTCTCTGAAAATGTAGCTTTTTGGTACTCTTCAGCGCACTGCTTTAAAATATTGGATTTTGAAATTGAAAAAATTGAATATTGAAAAAATATAGAATATAAATTTCTATTTTCATATAAAACTTTTAATTAGAAAAATTTCTATGTGGAATCTTCACAAATTAAATTTTTTTTTATTTAGTTAACTTAAAATAAAACATATTATTAAGGCAATATTTTTTATGAACTTCAAATTGTGTAGAATATATTATGAAAAAATCATCATTTTAGTTTATGTATAAAATATTTTAGCACTAGTTTTACACACTGTTCTACTTATATAGCAGAACATTAAAAAATAGAATTTCTGAGTAATATATCAATATTTTACTATATGATTTTAATTACCTCTATTAACTTTGAAACATTTTATTATCAATACAGATTTTAAAAATGTTATGTTAATATTACTTGAATTTTTCTAAACTACGTTTTAAATATAACTGCATAGTTAGAATAATTTAATACAATTATTGCAAAAATAGATGATGATGATGATTTATTACAACAATTAAACAAACTTTTGTACTTTTTTCAACTTTCACAAAGATCAATATTAGTTGCAACGCATTGCAATAACAAATCTATTCGATTTTTGTTATATTAATTAATTCAGATATAATGGTATTAATAAAATTAATATTTCCACACCAAATTTTTTATTTGAAACTAGATTAATTCCTATTAAAAATCAATTTGAAGAATTATATATTAAGTTCAAGTTTTGAGTGGTATTTTATTATATCTTGAATTAATTTCAAATATAAAATTTATCAAAAATAAATCCCGATCTCAGAGTTTTGATTTAAAGTTAAACTTTAAATTCAATACAAATGAAAATTATTTTGTACACCTATCATTGAGAAATAAGAATTTTTATTTTAATTTTTTAAATAATGTCTTTGACGTTATTTACTTTATTACAAAATGATCTTTATCATATTGATATATTGCATTATATATGACAAGGCAAATCCGAAACTTTTTAATTTCTAATTGAAGTTATCAATAAACTAGAATTCTAACTTAGTAAAAACCAATCAAATTCTTGCAAATTTTGTTAAAAAATAAAATTTAAAATTTTTTGAAGATTTTGTAAATCATTATCCGTCATTATACCATTTTTATTCTTATAAATTAATAATTAATTTTTGGAACCTAGTTCATGACTTCATAACTCTATTTGAATTGGAAATTTTCAACAATTCATTTGGAAAACATCTCCGTAAGATATTTCTATTTTAATTTTGCTCATTTAAAATTAATAATAATATTTTAGAAATAATTCATGCTTCTGACAATGAAAAACAGTAGACTTGTATGTACCTTTGTAAAAATTTCAAATATTTTTTGTATATATAATTATCCATATCTTATTGGGATAAATGTGTGCGTTTGATTTTTATTATTAACAATTTAAACTAAAATGATTAATTTTGCAATAGCTCTGTAAATTATTATTAACCTTGAGAATACAAAATAAATAAAGTGCTCTTATATATATTTGCCTAAATCGGATTTTAAATAAAATAATTATTGTATTGAATAAATACAAATATTTTAATTAAATAATGAACAGATTTTTAGATGCACACTGATTAATTATCTGTAATTAAATTAATATTGTTTGAACGCATATATAAAACCGAAGTTCTTAGCGCGGCTTATTTCATTATATTTTTAAATTTAAACCGGAATATTCGCAAAAAATGATTAACTTTAAAACACTTATATTTTTGGCTTTATGCACCACGATATTGGCTTTACGTAAGTTAACAATTGATCGATTTAATTTTTTGCAAAAAAATATAAAATGTGTTTATGTAAGATTGAATTATTTTCTGAACATATATAATAATTACAAAATAAGAAAAATAGTTTCTAGTTCAGTAATATTTAAAAAAAAATTAAAGTTCAAATTTATAATAGATCTTCATATATTTTATATTTATTATTTGCTTCATTATTAAGTTGATAAAAATGTTTTTTGATTTTGAATATCAATCCCTTAATTTATTGTTGCAGCTGTTCTTGATGACATTGATAATGATGTTGTCACTGTAACTACTTACGAATATTCTGTACATGAAAGTTATGAAATTGACGATGGTGGTCATGAAGTAGTATCTGAAAGCAGTGCACACGAAAGCCATGATATCATTTCAAGTGGTCAAAGTGGCGGAAGTCATGATCATTTAAGCCACAGTCATGAAAGTCTTGGTCAGGAAAGCCACAGTCATAGTAGTCACGAACATGGAAGCCATGAAGTGAACGGTGGCGGTCACGGAAATAATGGTCATGGTCATGGAAGTCACGAACATGGAAGCCATGAAGTCAACGGTGGCGGTCACGGAAATAATGGTCATGGTCATGGAAGCCACGAAGTGAACGGTGGCGGTCACGGAAATAATGGTCATGGTCATGGAAGCCACGAAGTGAACGGTAGCGGTCACGGAAATAACGGTCATGGTCATGGAAGCCACGAACATGGAAGCCACGAAGTGAATGGCGGCGGTCACGGAAATAATGGTCATGGACATGGAAGTCACGAACATGGAAGCCATGAAGTCAACGGTGGCGGTCACGGAAATAATGGTCATGGTCATGGAAGCCACGAAGTGAACGGTGGCGGTCACGGAAATAATGGTCATGGTCATGGAAGTCACGAACATGGAAGCCATGAAGTCAACGGTGGCGGTCACGGAAATAATGGTCATGGTCATGGAAGCCACGAAGTGAACGGTGGCGGTCACGGAAATAATGGTCATGGTCATGGAAGTCACGAACATGGAAGCCATGAAGTCAATGGTGGCGGTCACGGAAATAATGGTCATGGTCATGGAAGTCACAAACATGGAAGCCATGAAGTGAACGGTGGCGGTCACGGAAATAATGGTCATGGTCATGGAAGTCACGAACATGGAAGCCATGAAGTCAACGGTGGCGGTCACGGAAATAATGGACATGGTCATGGAAGCCACGAAGTGAACGGTGGCGGTCACGGAAATAATGGTCATAGTCATGGAAGCTACAAACATGGGAGCCATGAAGTGAATGGTGGCGGTCACGGAAATAATGGTCATGGTCATGGAAGCCACGAAGTGAACGGTAGCGGTCACGGAAATAACGGTCATGGTCATGGAAGCCACGAACATGGAAGCCACGAAGTGAATGGCGGCGGTCACGGAAATAATGGTCATGGACATGGAAGTCACGAACATGGAAGCCATGAAGTCAATGGTGGCGGTCACGGAAATAATGGTCATGGTCATGGAAGTCACAAACATGGAAGCCATGAAGTGAACGGTGGCGGTCACGGAAATAATGGTCATGGTCATGGAAGTCACGAACATGGAAGCCACGAAGTGAATGGCGGCGGTCACGGAAATAATGGTCATGGACATGGAAGTCACGAACATGGAAGCCATGAAGTCAATGGTGGCGGTCACGGAAATAATGGTCATGGTCATGGAAGTCACGAACATGGAAGCCACGAAGTGAATGGCGGCGGTCACGGAAATAATGGTCATGGACATGGAAGTCACGAACATGGAAGCCACGAAGTGAATGGCGGCGGTCACGGAAATAGTGGTCATGGTCATGGAAGTCACGAACATGGAAGCCATGAAGTGAATGGCGGCGGTCACGGAAATAATGGTCATGGACATGGAAGTCACGAACATGGAAGCCATGAAGTCAATGGTGGCGGTCACGGAAATAATGGTCATGGTCATGGAAGTCACGAACATGGAAGCCACGAAGTGAATGGCGGCGGTCACGGAAATAATGGTCATGGACATGGAAGTCACGAACATGGAAGCCATGAAGTCAATGGTGGCGGTCACGGAAATAATGGTCATGGACATGGAAGTCACGAACATGGAAGCCACGAAGTGAATGGCGGCGGTCACGGAAATAATGGTCATGGACATGGAAGTCACGAACATGGAAGCCATGAAGTGAACAGTGGCGGTCACGGAAATAGTGGTCATGGTCATGGAAGTCACGAACATGGAAGCCATGAAGTGAACGTTGGCGGTCATGGAAATAATGGTCACGGTCATGGAAGCCACGAACTTGGAAGCCATGAAGTGAATATTGGCGGTCACGAAAATAATGGTCATGGTCATGGAAGTCATGAACATGGAAGCCATGAAGTCAATGGTGGCGGTCACGGAAATAACGGTCATGAACATGGAAGTCACGAACATGGAAGCCACGAAGTGAATGGCGGCGGTCACGGAAATAATGGTCATGGACATGGAAGTCACGAACATGGAAGCCACGAAGTGAATATTGGCGGTCACGGGGATAATGGTCATGGTCATGGAAGTCACGAACATGGAAGCCATGAAGTGAGCGGTGACGGTCACGGAAATAATGGTCATGGTCATGGAAGTCACGGACATGGAAGCCATGAAGTGAACGTTGGCGGTCATGGAAATAATGGTCACGGTCATGGAAGCCACGAACTTGGAAGCCATGAAGTGAATATTGGCGGTCACGAAAATAATGGTCATGGTCATGGAAGTCATGAACATGGAAGCCATGAAGTCAATGGTGGCGGTCACGGAAATAACGGTCATGAACATGGAAGTCACGAACATGAAAGCCACGAAGTGAATGGCGGCGGTCACGGAAATAATGGTCATGGACATGGAAGTCACGAACATGGAAGCCACGAAGTGAATATTGGCGGTCACGGGGATAATGGTCATGGTCATGGAAGTCACGAACATGGAAGCCATGAAGTGAGCGGTGACGGTCACGGAAATAATGGTCATGGTCATGGAAGTCACGGACATGGAAGCCATGAAGTGAACGGTGGCGGTCACGGAAATAATGGTCATGGTCATGGAAGTCACGAACATGGAAGCCATGAAGTCAACGGTGGCAATCACGGAAATAATGGTCATGGTCATGAAAGCCACGAACATGGAAGCCATGAAGTAAACGTTGGCGGTCACGGAAATAATGGCCATGGGCATGGAAGTCACGAACATGAAAACCTTGAAGTCAATAGCGGCGGTCACGGAAATAATGGTCATAGCCATGGAAGTCACAAACATGGAAGCCACGAAGTTGACACAAACGACGTCACTACTATTGAAATAAACGACTGTGATCAAACTGTAGTCAAAACTGAACATGAACACAATAGTTATGAATTAGATGTTCAAGAACACGACAACAAGAATGTGAACATACATATGAATGATAATAATCAGAAAAATATGCATGTCACTGATAGTGACATCTCAAGTGTAGATATTCACAAAACTGCTAGTGAAGGAAAAGAAAGCTCAAATGTTTATGAAAGCGACAGTTCCAGTTTAAATGTTCATGAAAGCGAAAGCTCAAGTGTTCAGCAAAGTGACAGTTCCACTCTAGGTGTACGGATAAGCGATAGCTCGAATGTTTACGAAAGTGAAAGCTCAAGTTCAGATGTTCAGGAAAACGAAAAATCAGTCTACGAAAGTGATAGCTCTAGATTATATGCTAAGGAAGACGAAAGCTCAAATGTTCACGAAAGTGATAGCTACAGCATAGATGTTCAAGACACCGTAAGCTCTAATATTCACGAAAATGAAAGTTCTAGTTTAAATATTGAAGACAGCGAAAGTTTAGTTCAAGAGAGCGATAGCTCCAATTTAGGTGTTCCGAAAAGCGAGAGCTCAAATGTTCACAAGAGTGAGAGCTCTAGTTTAAATATTCAGGAAAGCGAAGGGTCACCTATTCATGAAAGTGATAGTTCTAGTTCAGATATTCAGGAAAGCTCTAATGTCCACGAAAGTGAAAGCTCCAGTTTAAATGTTCAGGAGCACGAAAGCTCTAGCTCAAATGTTTATAAAAGTGAGAGCTCCAGTTCAACTGTTCACAAAAGTGAAAGCTCAAGTTCGAATATTTATGAACATTCAAGTTATGACAAATCTAGTTACGATCATTCTAGCTATGATCATGAAAGTTATGAAGTAGATTTTGATGACTTAGACTCAGACATCAGTACAGAAACTGTCGGACTTAAATTGTAATCTTAAGAAATATGTATTTTTCATGATTTCATTATTATATCTGCCACACAGTGTATTAATTTTTTATTTGAAAATAATCAAAAAAATAAAATTAATCATTGAAATAATTATAGGCCATGCATGATGTATAAAATAGTCTCACTGCCATTCGAATTCATTTGGATAATATGAATAAAAAAATCAAACCAGACTATGAAATTATATTATTTGTATTACTTTTGTATTTATTTTATCTGTAAAAAATTATTGGATTCTTAATTTAGAAGTATTGCATAAAATACCTTAATGAGGAACATAAAAAATTATATCATTGATTTGATTTTATTGATATAATAATATACATAATAACAAATATAAGAGTTTAAATTAATATTTATTAGTGATATAAAAATATAAATAATATAGTAGTTTTAAAATAAGTTTTATCACAAATATAACAATACTTTTATTTCTTAAAATTCATTTAATATATTCAATTTTGGAATTATATATATTTTTTTTCAATTACATTTGCTTTATTGATTTTTCAAATTATAATTTACTATGTGAATTTCAACTTTTTGAAAAAGAATTTTATTTTTTCCGGAAAATCTGATTTGCTTAATATCTTTGCTAGATATTTGAAGTAATTTTGAATCGTTCGATACTAATATTAGAAAAAATATGTGTAAATAAATAAATAAATAAATAAATAAATAAATAAATATGTTTGTGAACCAAAATATTCGTCGACATTTTGCTGTAAATCGACTTTACCGATTTTAGAAATGTAAAGACTATTTGGTAAAACTTAATAAAAACTTGCGATGCTTAGTTTTGCAAAATTGAAGAATTATTTTTTTATGAAATTAAGAGAAACGTATAACATTGTTCATTACAATTTTTTGCAAAAAATCTTGAGTGTATTTGAATAATTTAAATATCTTTTGAAAGCTATCCTTTGTGATTAGAATTTAACAAAAGGTGGTTTAACTATTTTTCATTAATAATTTTTTATTGAACTATTTTGTTGAAAATTAAAATTAAGATTATACGGTGTTTGGTATTAGCAAACAACCGAAAATATTATAGGCCTACAGAAAGTGGTTTATTCATTAAGTCGATTTTTTATACATATAGGGAAGTTCATACAACTTGACTTTAGTCAAAGTAACGCTTATAGTCAATTTATATTTTTCTCATTAACCTGTCGATGATTATATTATTTCATAATATAATACTGATGATTCGTAATGTGTAAACATTATAACATTTAAATACAGAAAAAGTACTATTCAAATGGTTTTAAAATAATTATTTATCCATCTATTAAAATTTAAAAAATATTACTAAGGAAACATAAAATAATTTAATTGATTTTACAGATTGTTCTGAAGGTATCTGAACTATGATTTAATAATTATTGTTATCAAATTATATATATGTGCCAAAAATGAATTATTTTTATTACAAGTGTTAAAAAAATATGTGCTTGTTACCTTAAAGTTGAATGTCCATAAAATAATTATTACTTGATAAAAACTGTGAAATAACTACAATTTTCTTACAAGTCAAGTATCTCAATACAAGTTTCAAAACCCGGATTTACAATTTTGTAATAACTATTCATTTTATTTATAAAGGTATAAAGTTTGTTATACATTACATTTTGAATTATCTGTTTTCATTATTTTATTTCTGCAAAAGTGGTCAATGATCAAATAGAAAGAAATGAATAAATATTAGCGTCTAAAACAGCAACTGCAGTTTGCAGATATTTAAATAGAAGAAATGCTTGTTTTCGTAACAAATACCATATTTTTCCAAGCTTTGCAAATAAATAACTTACAATATAAAAGGAAAACCGACGAGTGATCTATCATATTCTGTTGTTCAGTTTTACGGCAAATAGAAAAACAGGAAAATGAACAGTTTCAAATTGTGTGTGTTTTTGGCACTTTGTGTCACAGCTTTGGCAAGACGTAAGTAGAATGAAATTACAACATTTTTTGTATATTTTTGTATTATTTTAATTCTAATTTTAGCCGGAAATTTCGGTATGCCAATGCCTGAACCACCATGTATGCCAGAAATGCCAGAAATACCAGAACTGCCAGAACCACGTCTTCCTGAAATGCCAGAACTCCCAGAACCATGTCTACCTGAAATGCCTGAGCTTCCTGAACTTCCAGAACCATGCATGCCAGAAATTCCAGAACTTCCTGAACCATGTCTACCAGAAGTCCCAGAACTTCCTGAACCATGCATGCCAGAAGTCCCAGAACTTCCCGAACCATGTCTTCCTGAAGTCCCAGAACTTCCTGAACCATGTCTACCTGAAGTTCCAGAAGTTCCTGAACTTCCATGTCCTCCAGAAGTTCCTGAATTACCTGAGCCATGTGTACCAGAAGTTCCAGAATTACCTGAACCATGTGTACCAGAAGTTCCAGAATTACCTGAGCCATGTGTACCAGAAGTCCCAGAAGTTCCAGAAATCCCATGCCCAGAGCCTGTTCCAGAATTGCCTTGTCCTTAAATTTTCCGCAATGGAATTACTACTAGACTTAGGAATTATTAATATAAAATGTAAAAATATTAAAAATATGAAACTAATAGGGGTACAAAAGGGAGAGCTGGTAATGACATTTTTTTTCTTACTGAATTGTTGTAAATATGATTTTAACAGAAATATATAACGAACTAAATAAAAATTTGTTGTTAATTATTTTAGGATAAATCCAGGTCATTTAAATATAATTAAAATATTAGGATGTGTGTCTTCCTATAATAATAATAATAAGTGATATAATTTATATCATCAAATAATTTATTGTGAATTTATTATAGATTTGTTGGCTACAATTTCGCCTCATAAACTAATTCAAAGATTTTTTAAATCGGTGAACAAAAATATTTTTAATTAATTACACTTTATGATTTATATATGATTATATACCAATTATTTTATTTTTTAGCTTTTGATGATAAATTTTTTTTGAAGAAAATGCTTTAATGTAGATGGGTTCAACTCAGTAATAGCTCTTGTATTTTAGAGTATTTACTAGTATTTTTAAAAGATTAAAAATGTATCAAATTTAATGAAATTTCTTTGGGTTTAATAAAAATATTCTTAGTTTTATGATTGAAGTAGATATACTTCTACGAGTGTGGACAAATTCCATAACAGTTTTCATAATTCAGATCAAACCACTTGATAATATTTTATATCGCATAAACTTATTTTTATAAGGGTTAATTTTTATATAAGATGTTGATTTTGTAAAAAAATAGAGTGACTTAAAGATTGTTCTCGTATCAACTTTTTTATTGAAATTATAAAATCTAAAAAAGGTCCTGACTGGAATGACCTAGAAGTGGCAATTATTAAGGCAATTTAAATAATTTTTTTTTATAAATAAAGTATTTTTATATTTCAATAATTATTCGATTATTAATTAATTATTTTATTTAATTATATTTATTGATGAGCAGTGTTGTGATTATGCCCGTAGAACTACCAATTTTGGCATTAAATAATATTAAATATATTATTTAATAATATTAAACATATTATTTATCATTGTAAAATTGATATATTAAGACTTCCACTGTGTGGGTTTGTTTATGAGTTTTGTTTACAAAAATTTGAGAACAATTTCTGGAATATTTCACTTTCAAACCATACCAGAACCTACATTAAATTAGATGAAAAAATTATATTGTACATATATAAATTGATAAAAAAATTAATATTTTTTGCAATAGTGTATTTTTTATATTTGTTGGAATATTTTATTGACATAACTATATATGATACATCTTTACTATTTGTAGCCTCATAAATTATGATAAAATACGTAAATCGGCTTACAAATACGTACTGAAGAAAATATTGTGTTTATTTTAAAAAATCTGTTTAAACAAGGATAGAAAACAAAAGTGTTTATTCCACAAATATAAAGTTTTTATATCGTTTCAAATACAAGTCTAATATAAATGCCTTTAGCGATACTGGCAGGAGCTAGAACAAAAAATTGAGGATGATTGATTTTAAATATGTGTTTGTTATTTTGTTAATAATTTGTACAAAAACTGTTGTAGGTAAGTACAATGATATAAAATATTCTCTGTTAAAAAAAATTGTCATACAGTTTAGTATAATGAGGATCAAATAATTTGCTAAATAACTCAATTATAAATTTCTATTTCAAATTATTTACATTAGATATAATCAATGTCAAAGAAATTGTGGAAATAGTCATCCAAATCTTCAATTTTGCACAGACTTTAGTTTGTTTTTTAAACTTTGATCAATAGCTAATTTCAAAGTAACAAATTACTTGATCCCAGACTTCACTATTTTTTATAAATTTTAATAAACTAAAAAAATTCCATTACCTAGGTGTACAAGGTCCTTACCAGCCTGCTCCTCATCAGCCTCCTCCAAAATGTTTGGGTGAACACGAAACTTATGTGGATTCACCACAAATTGATGTTTATTGTGAACAAGAAACTGTCAAAGGATGGAAAGTACCAGATGATGCTGAACCAAGTCATTGTGTTTGTGTCACAGGATTTAGTAGGACTTGTTATCCTAAAGGACCTTGCATTACTCATATTGAATGTTGGGACGCCAAACAGAAAACTGTTTATGATTGATTCGAAGAAAATGTCAAATTTGTAAGAAAAATTTGGTTTTTGTATGGAGAAAAATGTTAGATGAATAAAATTTAAATGTTATAGAAGCTGTTATTTTTATTGGAATGGTTGAGAACAATAATTACTTATATTTGTTACTGAATTTGAATTTATGTGGGCTTTTGGTTTTATGCAATTCTATGTTTGAGTGTTATGAAAATAACTGAAATTCATGATTTTTAAGAAAATTTTTATAACTCCTGAAATGCATGAATTAATATAGTAAGGATTGAAGACAAACTAAAAATTATTTAATAAAATTACAAAGTTCTAAAAATGTCCTGGCTTATTAGTTGAATCAATAGAAATGATTTATGCAATCTGAAATATATTTTTTAAATAAAATTTCTTTATCATTTAATAATTATTTGAACGTTGATTATTATGATTCTTTTCTTTTTTTAAATTATTGATGCGCAGTGATATTATTATGCCCGTAAAACTACTAATTTTGGCATCAAATAATATTAAGCATATTATTTATCTTTATGATTACTAAAACAGTTTATTCAAAAATTGATATGTTTTAGCAATAACTATTATCATACTGCAAAAGTAATACAAATCTCCAGGAATAATATTTTCATCTTTCCTTTTTCAAAGATAAATGAAATTATATTACTGATAAAAAATCAAATATTCGTATCTAATATTTTTTCATTTTGATTTATGAGATCCTGACTTAGGTTGAAATGTAATTAAATTTTTGATGAAGATTTCAATAAAACATTTAAGAAATATTAACTAATAGTGAGTATTGTAAGTCTATACTATATTCTATATTAAAAATTTGCTTTTAGCATAAGTTTTTCTAAATTTTAGCCAAACTTATATGCCTGTTATTCAAATCTTCACCAAAAATGTGATTATTTCATTCAATTTTTTTGTAATTTATAAATGGCTTAATTTGCTTTAACAAAAATTAAATCAATTTTGCATGTTGTCTTATTTTATTCAAAATTACTAGTTATAAAATATCTAAAACTATTTATTTATTGTTTTGTAATGATTAGTACATTGTTTCTGGATCTTAGGAAAGAACGCGTAGTTAAATATACATTAAATTTGAAATTTAGTTTTGATAGTAATTAATTTAAAAATATAATACGCATAAATTAATAAAAAAACGTTAGTATTAAAATTATTTACTCAATTGAACGTCACTTTTTTCTCTCTCAAAAGGTTTACACAGATTTATTTATTTTTAAACTGAGAAAAACAACAATTTTCTTTTGTTAACACAAGTGTTTATATTTATTTAAAAAAAAGATGATATAAAAATTTATTTTTATTTCACCATACATATGAGTAAAGTAATGTCGTCATATAAAAATTAAATTAAACATGGTTTATATGTGTGAACTAATTTTATTTGTTGCTAGTACATTTTGGTTCCAAGTCAAAAGTGCAAACAAAAATGCAGTTTTTGGTTGTTCTTTTTATTTATTTAATTTCTGGAGCCGCAAATGCTTCTGGTAAGAGAAAAAAATAATGATTAATTTTTTTTATTTAATTAAATTAAGTTCTTATATTTTGATAAAATATTTTATCATACTTCTTTAAGGGTAATTTATATTAATTTTTAGAAAGAATAATTATCTACTGAATATTGCATTGCATCCTGGTCTTTAACAAAATTAAATTGAATGGAAATCAATTATCATTAAAAATAAGTAGTATAAAGATACGTATAAAATTTAATCAAATGTGATGTAAATAATATATAAATTTTAATTAGTTAAAAGTCTTAAAATTAAATAAAGTAATTGTTCACTAAATTTTCTTTAAGTAATCTCACCTCTTTGACTTAATTTTTTCGATGACGTAGGTAAAAGTTTTTTCAATAAAATTTTGTTCTCTGCTACTTTATATATATATATATATATATATATATATATATATATATCAAAAATTTATTACTTTTAGAACAATTCTACGCCGCCCCACTACCCCACAAAAGATTTGTTCCAACCCCAATATGTTCAGGAAATCACGAAGTATACGTCGAAGAACCAATTGTCGATACTTATTGCGATAATTTATGTCGAGAAAATTGGGCACCACCTGAATGCGCCCCTGTAACACACTGTGTATGTGCCAGTGGCTACGGAAGGGAATACTACCCTGACGGGCCCTGTATAGCAGGGTTTTTATGTTTGAGTGATGAATCAAATTTATCATAAGAGGAAATATACATAGAAACTTTCCGAGAAATTGAATGAAAAATATGTGATATTTATTATTGTAAATAAATTATATTTTATTGCAAGTTTTTGATACAATTGTCTATAAATATCAAAAATAACACTAAGTGATACTTATTGTAAGAAACATATAAGGAAGCATGTTCATATATAAATTTTGATTTAATTTTTCCAATTTGAGTCTCAAACGATTAGGAATGACTTGCAACGTTGTGATATATAAAAATATTGTCAAATATTAAAACATTCTAAAAATAAAAAAATTGACTATAAAACGACGTGAGATAGATCACAATTTTTGTTTGCTTCATCAAAGATGAAGAATATATATTTCTATAAATTTGCATTTTTTCTTATTTATAATGTTTTTATTTTGTACATATCTAAGGTTCTAATTGTTTTAGTATTATATATATATATATATATATATATATATATATATCTTTTTTAAAATTATTTATTTAAATCAAATTTCACAAACCTGTTTAACACTTTGGCTAGTGACGCCATGACTTTATGCAAAAGTTAAAGGCAAATAAAATTAATTTTTGTTTTTTATCTGGTTAGTGTAAAAATAAAGATTCGTTCAACTTTACCATATCTCACATCGTGGATATGGCGAAGAATGTTAAGAATAACATCAGGGATGATGAAAATATCAGAGATATCGAAATTAATTTTTTTTGCAAATTTTGAAGAAATTGCGTTATATATAGGTACTTAATAAGCCATGCTTTGTCAGTGATGGTAGGTCTGTGTTAGGCATGTAACATATGACATATGACATTTGATCAATCGGGAGAGTTCCGCAATTGTCGTCGGCAACGTTCGCTCAGACATGTGACGTCACATACTCTTCTATGTTTGAGCACTTATTTTGCGCTCGACTAGCACTTCATGTAATATAAAGTCTATGTTTTTTACCCATCAAAAACACAAGATTGCTTTGAATTCATTTTTTTTTAAAATAGCTTCAGTTGACTATATGAATAAATAAAATGGACTTAAGATCAACAAACTAGCAAATAGCCATATCGGGATTATAAATTCAGATCAAAGACAAAAAACTAACAACAATTTCTAAAAATATTTGAAAAATCCATGTAAAATGGATCAAAAATGAATTTATAGGTTAAATATATGGATTACACCAATTTTCATAAAATTGAACATGCAGTAGATGTCTATCGTAAAAACCTGTGAGTATGCTGAGTTTTAAAACCTTGTTCAAAATTTATAAATATTTTATAAAGTATCTACAAAAATTTGAGACATTATTGATTCTAGTAACCAGTTTATCATGAGACATTTATTAATGTTTGGACAACCCCAAAATTCCTCATACTACAGAACCAGCATCTTTAAACATTTTTTATATTATTTTCTGAACATCTCTTACGTAGTTTGTGAACATTATGACTTCCAATACAAATATATTTATAAAACAATATTATTTTTGTTGGTTTTATTTTCATTGTTAGTTTTGTATATAAGCAAAAATTTTGCCATCGGAATTCTTGCTTCGATTCTTAGAAAATACTTGGTGGTTTTGATAAATAAATATTGGATAAAAAATGTTTTTTAGAACTTTGTGTTTTTTGATGTGCATTGTGATTGCTTTGGGATATGGACATGTTGTAACGAGTAAGTAGAAATAATTAAATTTTTATTATAATAATGAAATACACAATAAGTCTATATTGGATGTTTCTTGGACGTTGCATTTAATATCCAACGTTTAAAATGATTTTTATTGAATTTATTCATTTGCAAAAAATAATTCAATTTTTGTCTCCTGATGGTTCCTGGAGTTTCCAAAACTTTAGAATAAATTTTACCAGAAACAGATTCAGGAAAAAAAATTCAGAAAGCAGAAATTATCAATAATTGCAAAACGATGATATAACTTGTTACTGATTTCTTCAAATATTGATAGCAGGATCTAGTATATTGTTCTAAAACCCTTTAAAAAAAGGTAGAATGTGGTTTTAAAATTTTCTAAATATTTGAACTTTGTTATATAATATTAATTCAAGGAGCATCTAATAAACCTAAAAAAATGAGTGTTCCAAAATTTTACAATTTTTTATGACCTTTATCCCCAGAACAGAATGCAGTTCCAGGTTCTTACTACTGTCCTGACAACGAAGTTTTCACAGGATGTCGACCTTGTGACTCATCATGTGATGTCCCTAATAGGGTCTGTACTGATGTTTGTTATCCTGGTTACTTCTGCAAATGCATTGATGGATATGTCAGGAATTATGATGGTCAATGTGTTCCTTGGGAATATTGTTGCATTGTTAAATGTTATAATGGCTGGCCGTAAAATTACCAATAAATATTGTATGAGAAGCGAAATACTCATTATTTTTGTAAAATATAAAAAACAGAATACTTAGTGACTAGGTATAAAAATATTGATGTAAAGGAAAGAATTTTTTGGATTATTGAAAGAGGAAATAAAAATATTTTTGTATGAATAATATAATTTTTTGTAGCGTATATATGTGAAATCTATGACGTTAAGTGCAAATTTGATATCATACTGCTTGATATCAAGCTGGTCAAAGTTGGGATTAAAACTACGTATTCTATGAGATGTGTCTGCGTTTGTACATTCTAAACTAGTATTTGTTTATAAAGGTAACCCAAAGGTCAACCGATCTTCTTTTTTACATATGTATATCTGATAGTGTTGGCGTATATATTCTGCAACAATACTAAGAGCAAGTTTTACTTAAGATTAAGAAGTTAGACAACAGTGTGTTTCTGATACAGCTCCATAACATACGAGTGACATTTTGACAGTATTCAGTATGATTCATAATGCATGGAACTTGTTCCGTAACATGGCCTTGCTATAACATTTTTCTGTTATGCGGCAGAATCGGTTCCTAAATTTTATATCTATAAAATCAAGTGTAAATTTGATATCATACTGCCTGATCTCTATCTGGTCGATGGTCGATGGGATCAAAACTACATCTTTTATGAGCTGTGTTTGTGTTCGTACATCCTAATCGAATATTTTTCACGGTAGGGCAACCCAGCGGTCTACCACTCTTGATATGTATATCTAATAGTTTTGGCGTGTATTTGGCGTCGGTAGAAATTTGATATCATACTGCTTGAGATCAAGCTGGTCGAAGATAAGATCAAAATTACGTTTATGAGTGTTTGCGTTCGTACATTCTAATATAGTATTTTGCACAAGAGTGCAACCCAACGGTCAACCACTCTTGATCAACATAAAAATTTGCCTTATATTAGGTTTGATACCTATATAACATCAATTAAAAATTTGATATCATACAGCTTGATATCGAGCAGGTCGAGATTGGGATCAAGACGAGCTCAATGTAGTATTATTTGATGTATATTTTTGTTGAAATTAGGATTCATCTTATTAGTCTTACCTTATTGTTATGTTGAAATTCAAAATTTCTTCCAAAATTTGTTAGAATATATTTTCAACTTAATCTTATATGATTTGGCAATTTTTAGGTACTGCAGTTTATTTCAAAATTGTTCCAAAAGTATTGTAGTTTATATATAAATAAAATTAATGTTTCTAAATTTTGCTCATGTAGACATTTAATTTCAATAATTTATTCAGATTTTTTACAATATTTACAACACTGTTTTTTACAATAGTACAAAATTTGGAAAAGCAACAGTTATGAAAAATGCTGTACAAAACAGCATATTTAAGAAAATTTTATTTGACAAAATTAATCATTCCCAAAATTATTATTTGCATATTTTTCATGTCTTTAGCTCATTTTTTTGGCAACAATTTATTTTTTCTCATGATCCTTTGGCGGGCAGTTATGAGGTTCAATACAAGGTCCATCAGGCAAAAATTGCCTAATAAATCCTTCAGCACAGGCACAGTTCATTTCAGGTTCACATCCTTGTGCACAACTAAACAAAATTAACATTATTATGAAATTTGTAGAAACATCAAGAAATTTGTAGAAAATTGTATTCAAACATTACAGATTATTTTAGTGAGTACTATGAAGTATTCAAGTATTGATAATGTCGTTGATATTGATTAATTATTTTAACAATCAAATTTATTGGGCAACCATAACTTAAAATTAGATTTTAATATCCGATTTAAAATTACTATACCTATTATATGTAGTAATGTTTAAAATTTTAATTGCCCGAATGTTCTAGTTCAAAATCCATTGACTAATACAATCATATAATTTTTCAATAGTTTTTAAATAAAGGTATCATTGCATGATCTTTTATAATGCTTATTAATTGCTAGATTACACTCAACTTTATTTTAGTGCACGGTCAAGTGTTCAGGAAATATAAACGAATTTATCACTAATATTATGAAAAATAATCTTATATATTTTTTATCATAAATAAAACTTACTCTACTTCGGATTCATCCAATTCCCAATCGTCGCAACTTTGCTGACATTTAGAAATGCAATGTGCCCAAACTTCATTTTCTTCACAGCATTCCCAAACTTCATCTAGAAGAATTGAAATAAATTTAAATTATGAAATTTATAAGATATAAATCCTTTATTTATTCACAGCCAATAGAATAAATTTTCATATTTTTGCAATATTTTACTTAAGTCAAAATTACTTTTGTGTTGTGATGATACTTTTTCTCCTTAGTAAGAGGAAGGTAATATTGTACTGACGTCAAATGAAGATTTTTGACACAAATTTGGCTAAAGCTATTTTTACATTAAAAAAATTATTATAAATAGTTTTAAATAAAAATTAATATTAATACTGCTTGATATCAGGTTATGTAATATAATTTTAATTTTACTATTTATAACTCTTAACCACTATATATATTTTTTTAACCGTTCACATTTTAAAATATTTCACTAAGGTATTTTCTTATTGCTATCTATTTTTCCAAGTAAAAACCGTCACTACTGCTTGATATCAGTTTGTCCAAAGCAGTTGTTTTATCTGAAACTTTTGATTTAAGCACTTAAAAGCCCACAAAATGCTTTTGCAATTTTTGTTCATTTATGTATAAATTTAATATATTATTATTATTTAACTAAGGTATAATAGGTATTTAACTAAGTATTTATTAAATCATGAAGCCTATAATTTAAAAAAATACCTTAAAAATATACTGCATTTTATAAAAATTAAAATAAGTGATTTACAGTTACTTAAAATTTTGAACACGAAGTTCTTGTACAACACATTACATTACATAAACTCTGAAACTTCTAAGAATAATAAAATTTAATGTACTACTTATTATTTATTATAAATTATATATATATATATATTATATAACTTTTATTTTATATTATCAATCATTAACTCACAGGAATGCACAGAAACCACAAAAATTAAACTTATCACAAATACTAAATTCAAATTCATACTGCCCGCCTTGCTGATAGCTCTTATCAATAATTAAAATTTTATCACACAGTAGACATATTGTACAACAATGTTATTTGTTTAAAATTTATTTATTTTCTTATGTTTAACATTGTTGCATGCACAGACGACAGCTGTTCCTATGCAAATATGTTAGAAAAAAACTTAATAGTTTGAAGCAAAATAGGTAAAAAATAATAACAAGGGAAAATAGAGCATGATAAAAAAAATTATATATTTTTCTTATAGAAATTTATAATTGAATTTTTATACAAATTTTGTGAATATGAGATATTGGCTTTCAGATCATATTTTTAAAATAAAATTATCTTTAGAATCTATATTCTGAAAACTGATGTTGCCATCCATTGTATTCCTCTCTTGAAAATGGAAAAGAATTTAAATCTTTTTGAGACATATATGGATTGTCGATTGGTAAACCATATTTTGTACTTTGTTTGTCGTAATTTTCAAATTCGTTTATATTTGAACGATTGTTAGTGTTTTTTGATGAGATTCCACACTCGTGTAGTTTTACACAATCGCCATCAGAATTTCTGAAAAAAGAAATAAATAAATAATATAATGTATTAACCAAATCTAATGCTTTAAATAATATATTTTAAATATTTAATAAAGAGTTATATATAGTAAAATTATATTATATAACTTGATATCAAGCAGTATTAATATCAATTTATATTTGAAACTATTATCATCAATATTTTTATGTAAAAATAGCCTTTGCCAAAATTATATAAAGAAATATTAATTTGAAGTATGTAAAATATTTTTTCTTCTTGCAAAAGAGAAAGTTATATCATTACTAGACAAAATTAATTCTGATTCCAATAAAATATGGCAAAAATAAAAATTTATTGCATTAACTTGCCATATACGGAAAATAATTATTTTACAATAATACAATACCATATACTATTATTTGAATCTAAATAATACTAAAAGATTTGAAGAATTTACGTCTAGAAATGAAAATATGTGTGTGTGTTTGTATATGTATATATGTTCGGATACAATTTTTTGGTTACACGTTTTATAGAGAAGCCATTAACGGATTTGATACGTTTTTGAAAAATACTGATCCATATTTTATTATAAGGAAAAAGTCCAAAAAATTGTCATTTGATACCCATAAAATATGTTTGAATCACTTTATTCATAGAGATGTGAACGTAATATTTATTTTCAAATTTTTAGTTTGAAATTTTGTTAAATTTTGAAAATAATCAAATTACATTTATGCACTTAAAAATCTATTTGATTTGAATTTTTTAAAAGTGATTTATAAATTTTGTTTGAATTCTCTACTTGATTTTTAGTTTATGGCAACAGAAATGGTGCAATTATAATTTTAAAAAATTGGCAGTCTTGCCAATTTACTTTAGATTTGTAGCTAAAATTTTTTAAATGGTTTTCGATTTTTTTATTTAAATTTTACCTGTAGTAACCAGTATCACATTCACAAACTGAAATCATGCATTTTCTACTGCATTTGCTCACGACTGGTTGTTCACATGTTAAAGGACATGGAGTTCCACAACGTTTCAAAACTTCATTTGGTTTTGTACATTTATCCATAAAACCTACAAAAAATATATTAAATAGATATTACTTATTAACTATAAATTACCCATGAAATAAAATTATTTTTTAAAATAAAAAATGCATTTATTGTGGGAATAATTCCTGCAGAGTCTGCTCTTGTCAACATTTTCTCTAATCTGGGTGAAACAAAAAAATGTATTTATTGTAGAAATTAGTTCTGCAGAGTCTGCTTTTGTCAACACTCTCAAATCTGGGCGAACAGAATTTTTTAATATGTTTTTAAGAATAAGTCTAAATTTTTGATAGTATAATCCAGTAATTTCAAATAAAATACCAAGATTTGTTATATTATTTTTAAAAACTTACCATGGTCAAAAGCTTCCACAGAAGACAGTACAAACATATAACAAAATAAAACATTAAAATGCATTTTTTTATATTTTTTACTGTTGAATTGATATTTATTAATATTTAACACAAGACTGTTCTAATCAAAATGCATGATTTCGTCTCACAAAATCTGCTATATAAACAATTTAACGACTTTTTTAAATGCTGATAATTTGATAAGTGATAATAGAACAATGGATACAATGGTCAGTTTCTACTGAATGAAAACTTTATTTTTTATATTGAATGTCATTGAATTTTATATGTATATATATATATATATATATATATATATATATATATATATATATATATATATATATATATATTGGAGTATTCCGTTGTCAAAGTACCTCAGATAACACTCTTTCAACAATATTTATTAAATTAAAATCTATTTTTGATCCTAAAATTTTAAGTAGTTTTTTACACAAATTAAATTGTTTAAATTGCCAAAGGTTTTACATTGGCGAAACTAGCCAACATTTACACAAAAGATTTTCTCAACATAGAAATAATTCCAAAAATAAGAATCAGTATAAAACAATGCTTTCAGAACACATAAATAACCTTCAGCATAACATTGATTTCCTAAACCAGAGTATTTTACATTTTGAAACCAATATATTTAAAAGAAGATGTAGTGAAGGTTGTCTAATATCGTTAATAACTTGATAGCTATTCACTCTGCAATAATTACAAGATATTCCTCGACAATTTTTTAAACAATATTATTACTGAATGAAGCGTTTCCTTTTTTTATTACTTTTCGAAACCAAATGTTTTTACCAGTTTGCACATTTAAAAAAAAATCTTTGTAAGCACAATCATTGAGCAGGAATCTATTCTGGTCAAACATCGTGACATTTTTCATACACTTTTTATTTCTTATACTATTGGTCCTTATATGAATTTAAAAATCTGAAAAAATCACAGCCCCATTGTAAAATTTTAGGTGATGAACTAGAAAAGCTATTATTTTAAGTCTAGAATTTTATTTTCGACATTTATTATTAAAAATTAATTTCATCACATTTGACCTGTAGATGTATTTCTAGAACGCAGTTAATTACTCAAAAAAATTTATTAAAATATTCTGAACTTTGAAGACAAAAAATGCAATATTATCCTATTCAATCAAAAATTTTAGACGTAAGTTGTAATAACCCATTTTATTATTATTCCAATTTAAAACAAGTATCCATTCAAACCCAGTACATTTAAACCACTGAAAGCATTATCAAGTCCAGTGGCGTACCTAGTAAATCCAACCAAAGGACTATTGGTGACAGATTGGACAGGACTGGTAACTTGTTCGACTACTGGATGTGCAGTATCAACAACCGGATTTAGGGCTTCTTGTATCGGAGCAAAAGTTTGGTAAACTGGACTTGTAGAAGAACCTAGAAGTGGTGTGGAACCCAAAACACCTTCAGCAACTGTAAATCCTTGGTTGACAACCGTAGGATTGGTGTTTCCTAAGGTGCCAGATGTTAGATATCTTAGGACTGGGGTAGGAGCACCTGGGGAAAAATGATATATTTGGGTTTTTGTGATTCTTGAATTAAATTTTAGTGTTACGATTCTACCTTGTACCCAGGTTCCTATGTTGAGCACCAAAAACAAGACTGCAACTAGGAGTTTCATGTTTGTTGAGAGGTCTGTTTGTAATGAAACTGGTTAAAGACTTTTATACTGGTGAAAAGTTTACAGATTTTTTTATCGACGTTGTTGGTTTGCAAAATAGCACGTTTCTGCGTGACTTTTACACAAAAAAGTAAAGTATTTATATTTAGTTGTATAATTTTTTGGTTAAAATATTCAAATAAGCTATCAATTATTGTGCAACAATATTATTGTTCATAGTGTACGAACAAAAACGTATGAAATTGAATTTTTTGTTTTTTAGTATTTTATACATTTAGTTTGGATTGCCTGAAGGAGCAATCCAAATGTAAAAATTCTTGAATTTCTTCTACAAATTAATATTATTTTTTTGTGCCAGTAGAGTTCTCTTATTTATGAAGAATCTCATTACTGGTGCTTCTGTTCTTAATTTGCTCGTACAGTATTTGGCGGTAATTTTTTAGTATATTTTATAACACCAAGCAAAAATGAGGTCTATGAGCTGTTGCAACCTAAATGACTTTATAGAAGGTGATCCAATAGTTGTCCTATCAATTTGATATACATCTCAATAGAAGGCAAATCGGTGTTTTTTTGTTCGGCCACTAATGTATGAACTATTGTCACCTAAGTGACTTCGTATAAGGAAACTCAATGGTTGTCCAGTTGATATTATTTTTAATGGAAAGCAACTCCTCAGTTTTCTTGTTTTTGTCTCCGCAGTTTATTTGTTTAGCGACAAATAAGTGATTTATGAGCTGTTGTAACCTAAGTGACTTCTTAGAAGGCAACCCAATGATTGTCCTATCCATTTGATATATTTTCCAATTGAAGGAAACTTAGTTAATTTTTTGGTTGGCCACAAATGAGAGATTCATGAGCTGTTGTCATCTCAGTGGCTTCACAGAAGGCAATCCAATTGTCGTCCTATTTATTTGATATATTTTTCAATAGAAAATACCACGAAAAATTACCATGTCACCCAAACAAATATTTGAAAGAATTAAGCGAGGAATCTCCTACTCGAATATTGAAAAAAAATGGCTTTATGATCTAAAATACAATATCAAAAAATAAAAAAAGAGATATCTCATAGGAGATAAACTCTTTAAATGCATATACACCCAGCATATTGTCTTAAAAAATTTGTATTATTTGATCGGCAATAAATCTATGCAAATAAAAAAAATCAATGGAGTAGTTTTCTTGTTCAGCCACAAATAAGAGATCTATAAACTGTAGTCATCTAAGTGACTTTGTAGAAGGCAACCCAATGGTTGTCTAGTTGATTTGATTATTTTCAATAGAAGTCAACTCAATGGTTTTCTTGCTTGCAATAGTAATGATATACTTCAACCTTAGCGCGAAGACTATTTGCACTAAAAAAAATATTTCAATCGTTAATACTACAGCTTGATTTCAGGTTGTACGTGTATGATTTACATGCGTTCCAGAAAATATTTTTCGAGAAATTGAGAATTTTTATTTTAAGAAATACTCATAATTAGTTAAAATTAAAATTAAGAAAAAAACTTAATAAAATATGCTTGGACAATAGTAAGTAATATTTATATTATTTCAAAAAATTCATGAGGCATCGACATGCACGTCAAAGATTTTTTCAAAAAATTGTTCTATTTTATCATTGTCTTGTTTTATCAATTAAATTTAATATGTTTGATTTAGTTTTTGGCTGGGTATCAAGCAGTATGAAGCCAAATTTTTACTTAAAATTATAAGTCTCAAATATAAGCTCAAGTGACAATATCATTTTGATGGTATTGCTGTTAACAAAAATGAAACAAATATTTTATACGATACAAGTCACTGGTAAACAAATGGTAGCCAAAGTACAATAGTGATATCTAGAAAAATAATCTAACATGTAGACACTCTACTAAAAGTATAATATCTTTACCAAACATTGCATAAATATTTGTTTTATTCAAGATTAAATAACTTTACTTTTTTCAATCAGTGAAAAATTACTTTAGTCAAGAACTCTCTCAAATAAGCAACCACGGCCATGCTCCACAAAAATAGAAAAACCTAACTGAAACTAAGATCAAATCTTATATACTGAACTTTTCGCGCAATACTCCGTGAGATAATTCGGATATCAATTATCAAATTCGTGTAAGAATTTAGTTATTGAGCTAGTTGCATAACGTGCAAATTTGTTGATATATTCGCGTCTATGACTTCGTGATTTTATGCAAAAAATTTGGTTGGGTTTGAGTATATAAGCAGGTAGTTTTAAGTGGTACAGCATTATCAGTTACATTCTGAAAAGTGTGAAACCTGATAGCATCTCACAAAATGAACGCTTTCGTAGTAGCCTTTGTTTTGTTGGCTGGAGCCCTTGTTCAAGGTAATAATATTCATATAATTTTAAATTAATTAAATTTATTTCTCTAGTTATTACCAACTGTGTATGCACTTTTAGGTGCACCAAGCGTATACACCACCTCTGGTTGCGGTGGATTGGATTGCGGATTTAATGGTTACAGTACCGGATACACCACCGGCTATACCACTGGATACGCAAGCCCAGTTACTACTTACTCCTCTCCAGCTACTGCATACACCACCACCGATTACGTCAGCACTCCAGTGACTTACACTTCTACCGACTATGTCAGCACCCCAGTGACCTACACCACCACTGATTATGTGGCTACCCCAGTGACCACCACTCACACTGACTACGTCAACACTCCAGTCACCACCACCTACACTGACTACGTCAACACTCCAGTGACAACTTCTTACGTCAGCCAACCATCTGTAGCCTACGACTATGTCTCCACCAATGTTGTATCTACTCCAGCTGTTGTATCTTCTCCAGCTGTTGTATCTACTCCAGTTGTTGCTGACTACGTGAGCGCTCCAGTTGCTACCACCTACGCCACCGCCAGTCCAGTGTACACCACCACTGACTACGTCACCACCAATGTCGTCAGTGCTCCAGTGACCACCACTTCTTATGCAACCACCAGCCCAGTCTACACCACCACTGACTATGTCACTTCCAACGTTGTGGCTGCCCCAGTTGCTACCACTGGATACACCACCGGATACGTTGCCAATGACTACGTCACCACCAATGTTGTTTCCACTCCAGTTACTGGATACACCACCGGACATCTTGCTAATGACTACGTCACCACCAATGTTGTTTCCACTCCAGTCACTACTGGATACACCACTGGCTACACCACCGGCAATGTAGGATATACCACTGGTAATGTTGGATACACCACCGGACTCTCTGGTTACACCACCGGAGTTACTGGATACACCGACGGGCTTAGTGGTTACACCACTGGTAATTATGTGAGCTCTCCAGGATACACCACTTCCGGACTTGTCAACGTTTACTAAGTTTAAAAAAATATTTCGGATTTATTGATAACGACCTATATTTTCCAAAAAATGTACATGAGAATTGTTGAAAAAAAATAAATTGCAATAAAGATTTGAACATTTAAATTTTATTATTTATTATGGGAAATTAACATAAAAATGATTCTTTAAACACAATTCATGTATAAATAAATCCCGATTATCAATCCCGATAATTATTTATATTTGAGATGAATTTTCAATGTGATCTTCAGTAAAGGTTCTGTAAATGCATCTTATTGGATACAAATAATTATATCTGATATAATTTTCTGTGCTAATGATACCATTTAGAAATTAATCATCATTTTTCTTATTTTACTGTTTTATAAAACCGAACATATTATTGTTACAAAAATCACAGATTTTACTTTTATTTCAATTGATATTTTCATGAAACGTTTTATAATTTAACTTGAAGTCTCATAATTAATTCCCTATTAAAGCTAGTAATAGGTTTATACCATTCATTTTTATTAAAGGTATTATTTTAATTATTTTACCAATTAATTTAAAGTTTTTTATTCTTCATTAAAGAACATTGATATTTTTGCCAATTAAAAACTATGATATTAGTGTTCAGAATTTAAATATTTATTTAGTTGAAAATTGATGACTAAAGTTAAGATATGATGGATGGATATATTAGATCAAATATTATAAGAAATGAAAAATATAAACAGTACAATATGTATAACATGATAATAAAAGTCCGAATCTATACCAAAAATGTAGAACCTATTTAAATACTAATTCGAGATTTAGACGTATTTAATACTTATTTTATATTTGGTATTTAATATTTTAAATAAATTGCTACAAAAATTACGTTTCACGTACAATTTTTGATCAGTTGGTTATTTGATTCGATGAGCATAAAAGAATATATTCTTTGCAGTAAAAATCATAAAAGCTCTAAAATGATTATTCAAGATGTGATATGAGAAATATTTAATTTTTAATTATGGAATAAAAAATCTTATTAGTTTTTGATAAATAAAAATACATCAACCTATGAAAGAAATTTTTATAACTCAAAAGTTTTCGGATCAATTTTTACTGGTTATTACAATGTGCTTAATTTTTAACTTCCCGTAGGGTAAGTTATTGTAATCGTCTAAAAATCGAAATTGAAAATTTTCACATTTTTTCAGATTTTGAAGGTTTCTGAACATTTTGGCATACCTCAGAAAAAATGGATGTGTGTGTGTGTATGTATGTATAGATACAATTTTTCGTCCACGTTTTCGGGCGCACGGATCAACCGATTTGAATGGTTCAATAAACATTCGATTTCTATTGATAGAAAGATATGCTGATTAGTTTTTGGCAAGAGCAGGTCTAGTCCTTTCAGAGATATGGAGCAAAAAATGCAGAAAATATAAATCGAGATTTTGAGAGAACGGAGCATCCGATTTGAATGGTTAAGAAAACATTCAATTTATAAGGACGGGGAGAAGTGGTGATTAGTTTTTGGCAAAGGCTGGTCTATTTGTTTCGGAGATACCGAGTTAAATCCGCAAATAATTACAGTGTTTGATAGAACTAAGCATTCGATTTGAATGATTCAAAGAACTTTCTGCTTGTTTTAACAAAATAATTGATTTTGGAAAATAAATTTTAAGATTTTAATTGTAATATTGACCTAATTTCTAATATACTTCAAACAAATATTTTCAACTTTGCAATTCCGTTTATAAAATTTTTATGAATATTAGACAAATCTATTTGAATATTCCTAGATCATTTTGTTACGATACGGGAAGTTCCAGCAATTTCCCTTCAGGCACGATGCAATGCGCCCCACTAGTTTTCTCAAATATTAGGGTCACATACTAATATTGAACATTTTCAAAACTCACTATTACGTGAATATTACGTAATTTAAGCGAGTAATTTTTTTGAGTAAATTCTTTGTAAATATTGCGACATTCAACATTTTTTACCTTTGTCTAACATAATATTGTTAATCAATATCCAAATATAATACACTTTTATCACAATATCACTTTTATTTCAAAAGTGCAAGTGATAACTTTATTCTTTTTTATTTATTAAAGCTGCAATCAAAATTTCAATTATGCATCCCACTTTACTAGACAACCCAATGTTTGTCCTACCATATTGTAGAAATACTCCGAAGGTCTATTTCTGCTTGCAAACATATTTTGAAGAGAAGTAGTTATGAGTAACATAACTGTAAAATTAAGTTACATACTTTTTATAAAATCAAAATCTTTCAAGATGATAAATGAAAAACAACTAGTTATATTGAATTATTGTATTTTATTGCAGTTATTCATTTTTTCCAAAGGTCACACAAATTTATAAAATATGGTCATCATCATTGAGGGCAGACAAAATCAAAAATCTAGAAAACGTTGACAAGTCCAGAAGAAGTGTATCCTGGGGAGCTGACATAGCTACCAGTGGTATAACCATTAAGTCCATTGGTATATCCACTAACGCCGTTGGTGTATCCAGTAACTCCGGTGGTGTATCCAACATTACCGGTGGTGTAGCCAGTGGTGTATCCAGTGGTAACTGGTGCGGAAACTACGCTGGTGGTGACGTAGTCATTAGCAAGATGCCCGGTGGTGTATCCAGTAACTGGAGTGGAAACAACGTTGGTGGTGACGTAGTCATTGGCAAGATGACCGGTGGTGTATCCAGTAACTGGAGTGGAAACAACATTGGTGGTGACGTAGTCATTGGCAACGTATCCGGTGGTGTATCCAGTGGTAGCAACTGGGGCAGCCACAACGTTGGAAGTGACATAATCAGTGGTGGTGTAGACTGGGCTGGTGGTTGCGTAAGAAGTGGTAGTCACTGGAGCACTGACGACATTGGTGGTGACATAGTCAGTGGTGGTGTACACTGGACTGGCGGTGGCGTAGGTGGTAGCAACTGGAGCGCTCACGTAGTCAGCAACAACTGGAGTAGATACAACAGCTGGAGTAGATACAACAGCTGGAGTAGATACAACATTGGTGGAGACATAGTCGTAGGCTACAGATGGTTGGCTGACGTAAGAAGTTGTCACTGGAGTGTTGACGTAGTCAGTGTGAGTGGTGGTCACTGGGGTAGCCACATAATCAGTGGTGGTGTAGGTCACTGGGGTGCTGACATAGTCGGTAGAAGTGTAAGTCACTGGAGTGCTGACGTAATCGGTGGTGGTGTATGCAGTAGCTGGAGAGGAGTAAGTAGAACTGGGCTTGCGTATCCAGTGGTATAGCCGGTGGTGTATCCGGTACTGTAACCATTAAATCCGCAATCCAATCCACCGCAACCAGAGGTGGTGTATACGCTTGGAGCACCTGTAGTTACAATTGTATCGCATGATTAATATTACAATAGCTTGGTGAAAATCTAGTAATTATTAGATAATATTTTTTATTACCTTGAACAAGAGCTCCAGCGAATAAAACAAAGGCTAAAGCAAAAGCGTTCATTTTGCTAGTTTCTGTTAAAGTTCTGGACTTCTTCAGGATGCAACTGATGATGATGCTGGACAGAAGTAAAATTCAGCTTATATACCAAAGACCATCTAATCTTTTCCGCAAAAAATCACGATTTGGCGATTAAAATTGTTTGGAATAAAATTTGAAATAGGCACGCTTTCATGGAAAAAATCGCCGTATTATCAAATTTTTTCACGATTTTGATAATTTTAACTTGATAATCTGGCATAGAGTTATGTCACTTCTTGGTATAAATTATTGTGTCCAGCTTTGATTTAAATATTTTATTTTAGAAGCGTTATATAGAAGAACTCTGTCAATTTAACGCCTGTCTATCTACTTTACTTTCTTTTTTTTTAAATATTAATTTTTCAAATTTGAATTGAAGTGATTTATTGATTCATGCTCATGGATTGTCAAATTTATTTTTCATATTTTTTGAGAATGCGAGAATGCGAGGTCAATCAATAAAAAAATACCAGGTCCTACATAACTTTTTTTGACATTTTGACTAAAAAATATCTATTTAAATTTTAATATCTTGTTATGTGATCTATTGAATTAAATTTTTTACTCATAATAATTTCCAATATTTTCTCCTTTGATTATTCATACTAATTATTATATTATTATTTATTCTTACTATTTATAATATAATCTATTAATTTTTGCTATTTTATTATTGTTTCCTTATCTTTTATCAAGATCATGTTCTTGACAAAGATGATCTAGAGATGGCACGTGCATAGTTTCGAAACGACTATAAATAATATTTTCTATAAAAAAATTGAATTTTCATTACTATTAGTTCAAATCTAAATGAAACTTGATTGATTTTGCAATTATGAATGACGATATTCTAATGGATGAATTTATATTGAAGAAGAAAAAAACAAATAGAAAAAAAAATTCTATTTTAAAGGAAAAAAAAGAAATTTATTCAATAATTAAAATTATCATAATTTATTTATATCAGAAAACAAATTATTATTAACTAAATAATTTATACAATTTTTAAAGTTTATTTATAACTATTTTACCACTATTTCCTATCAAATAATATTAACTTAAATTATGTATTCAATAATAAAAAAGCATTTGTGAATAATATGAATTGTGCACAAACAATATAGAAAAAATATTTCACAGATTTAATTCTACTTGAAGTATTTATTAAATTTTCATTCTGATCAATATAGTTATCATAAGAAAATGTTGTGTCTGCAATTTGTGGTATATCTAACACTCCATAGTCTGAAAAAAAAATTAAATAATAAATAAATATTGTTGCTTAATATTCTAAAAAGCCTAAAAAGCAATAAAAAATTGTTTCAAGCAATTTTGTATTATTTTAAAATATATTGAAAAGACATCGAAGAAATGAGAAATCTTTAATAATATTCGTGAATATAAAATGGATTTATACAAAGTTACAGTAATACAGCAAGAACAGTATTTTTTTTTCAATTTATAATAAAATTCGTCGGAAAGAAAAGTGTGAAAAATATCAACTATTATGCACTTAAATTAAATGAAATTAAATCTTACCAAATCCAATATCAGGTTCTGTTCCAATAATAATATATGAATATGGTAAATTTGCGTCAGTAAAAAAAATATTCTCTAGAAAGTTTTCTTCCAAAATGGGGTTGTCTCTATCTGATATAACAATACTCATATTTAAAATCAAATCAGAATAAAAATGTTGATGATATGAAAGTAGTTTTGAATTGTATGCCAATATTTATATTGCATTGATTTATTTAATTTACCTACAATATAACAATTATATATATATATATATATACAAATAATTATTAATATTATTATAATTTACCATTTGTTACTTCATCAGCATTTAATAATGGATATTCATTTTCATTCCAATCCACAACATGTCTATGATGAAAATTTGGATAAAAATCACTTTTTACGCCTAATAACAAAATTTAAAAAAATTAAATATTAGATACCACTTAATTAATCAATCTATAAGTAATTATACACATATTAATACCACATATAATAATAACTAAAGCAAGTTTATATAACTTTTTTTTAAAGACCTTATTATAAAAATCTGCGTGTTTATATTGTTTAAAAAAATATATAGAACTACAATAATATAATAAATTATCTGAAATCAAATATAATTAAATTTTCAAGTCTTTCAATTTCCGAATATTATTAACAAATTCAAATAAACTTTATAGGTGGTTATAATAAGTATTTAGATAAATTTTGTGAAGGAAATTCTATGTACGTTACAATAGCTCTAATAGTGCAAATTGTTTTTCTGCATACCACACACTTAAATATTAAAAAGTAAATGAAAAATTCAAATTTCAATATTTTACATAATATTTAAACAAATACATACACTGTAGTTTTCTACTTTTCTGAAAAAACAAAAAACAAGCAAATTACCCACTATGCACAATATGAAGATCCAAAATATATATTTCATTTTGACTTTTGATAAATTTTATTAAAAATTTATTTTTACACATTGGTCATAGAAATTTTGAGCACTACATATTATACATTTATATTATTTAAATAATTTATAAAAAGTTCAATAAATTTATTTAAAATGCATTTTCTTGCTAGTAAAGTAATGGTATACTCAAACGATTCTTGAATCAAGAACGTGATTATCCTTCTGAACAAAAAATTCATACTGAAAACTTATTATCGCTTATAGAGATAAAAATAACTAAATCTATTACGTGACATTTTCCAATTTTTATTTTAACATTTCTATTATTATGTAACAAATTAGGTTTGGGTTTTTCCGTTCTACAAACCAAAGGATTTTACATTTGTAAAATGCATGAAAATATTCCGAAACTTATGATAATTTATTTTGGTCGTCATATTTGGACTACTGAAAATTCTGATATATAAGAAGGTGTATTTTTAAAATCTTCAGTCAAGTTTGGACTTTTGGTTGAACTTTCTCGCCGGAAAATGAAATCCCTTGCTTTATTGATTGTTCTGTGTGCCTTTTTGGCAGTATCACTTGGTAACTAATTAAAAAGTTGGATAATATACATTTTAAAAAATACATAATTTTTTTTCCAATCCTAAATCCATTATCCTTTTAATTTTTTAGGTGATTCAACAAACTACAACCAACTTTCCAAATACGACCAATACAGCAATTATTTGAACAACTACAACTTACAAAACAATGGTTATTACAATTACGGAAACAATTTGAACAATTACAACAATAATGGTTTCAACAATTATGGCTCAAACAACAATTGGCCTCTCAACTACAATCAATATTACAACTATCTGAACGGTTTCAACAATAATGGATATTATAACTACAACAATTTTAACCAACAGTACAATAATGGACAATATTATAATGGACAGTATAATTATAATCCGTTCAACAATGGATACAGTCAATATTATAATGGACAATATAATAATCCTTACTATAACCAACAATATTACAATGCCATGATTAACTATGGATTGGGTGGAAATAGTTGGCTTAATTATTTGAATAACTATTATGGATATAATAACTTGAATGGATACTACAATGGATTTAATGGATACAACAATGATTATTATAACTTTAATGGATACAATAATGGTTACAACAATGGATTTTACAACTACAATGGATTCAACAATGGATTTAACAATGGATTTTATAATAGATACAATATTTATAATGGATACTATGGTAACAATCCCTATAACTTAAATTACCAGTTTGGAGCTGTATATTGAATGATTCATGAATAAATTTTTCACAATGATATTTACAATTCTGCTTTATAGTTTCATTGCTTTAATTGTTTTTATACACTTGAATTATAAAAAAAGAGTGCGCGTAAGGATCACACGCGATTGAAGTAAAACTTATTTGCTACTGTACAAGATGGCATTTAAGTAAAAATAAATACATCATATTACACACAGTAAATTATGTTAAACAACGCCTATAGAAACAAATATTGTTTTTGCAACTTCACTCATCATGTAATTGTGTTTGAAGAACTTCATGTAATTAAAATCAACATACAATCATTGACTGCTTGTATTTTTTTTAGTTTTTTGCTGGCGATATAATCTCATTCTTTGAACTAATATCTGTCTTGACTTAGAAATATTTTCTATTTTAAAAACTTCAAAGATTTATAGATACTACGAATAATATAGAAATAATTTCTAATCAATAAAAATACTAATCATAAATCTTATGAATCAATATTTTTAAGAAACAATTTTTAAGATTAGTACTACGATGTAACCTTAAAATGTTTATTTATCTATGCCGATTTCCTTGTTGATATCGGTACGCATAAAACGTTGATGCCGGTACGCATACAAAGACAGATCTCTATTCACATACACGACAACTAATCACAATCAACCCGTATAGAAATGATCTCATTGAGAGCAAATGACGAACAGTTCGGGCGTAACGGACTTCCGTTGCATTTGTACGGATTTATACCCTAGTCGCGCCTAAAGAAGTTTTACTTCAAAAATATACTGATGGTTAATAGATATTATATAATTTTATGTGCAAATCTATTATTGTCATTATAATAATTCCGTGACTTTTTTCGATTTTACATAGCGTTTCTTAATTTTAGTTACGTTCTTCAAAAAAACCCAAATATTTTCGACATGTGGAATGCGTGAGAATATTTTAAAACAAACTGTATTTTTTTGTCGTTCTCATGATTTGACTATTGTGATTTTTTATATATAAGGAGGCTAAATTTTTAAATTTTTAGTAAAGTTTCAATTTCCAGTTGAACTTCATCCGAAAATGAACTTCTTTGCTTTGTTGATTTTACTTTGTGCATTATTGGCGGTAGCACTTGGTAAGTAAACAAAATAAATAAAATTAGATTTTATATAAAACTACTTATTTCTGAATCCTAATTCAGTTTTTACGAAAAATATTTATGAAATTTGTAATATCATTTTATTATATTTAGGTGAAGCATACG